GAGTACAAGATTAGGAGATTAGTAGACTAACATAACAGGCTAGTAAGATGTCATCATTTTACTCCCACTCTCCTATTCGCCGTCTCCTGGTACGTCTCTTTTACTCCTTTTCTGCTAATTTCTACTCTTGCCTTCCTCCTCTCCTACTCCCAATGTGTGGCTCCTTTTCAATTAGTCGAACTCCCCGTTTTTTGTTCGCATATTCCTGTCCTCCGTCTCCTAATGTCAAACTGACCCTGCACATACTCCTGCTCTCTCCGCCCCCTGTCCTCCCGAAACGTGCTACTTTCATTCTCTTAGTCTCACTCCAGCTCCCTCATCATGTCCACTTCTAGACTAGTTGTCCTCTTGTTTTATTCCTCCTCTCTCAATTGAGTTTCCTATTCCTTACCCTCCATGCACCTCCTCTGAGGGCGACTTCTACCGCTACTCCTGTTCTTACTCCTACTCCCTCCTACATGTCTTATAATGCTAGTTCTCCCAATTCCCGCCAGTATAGATATACTGTCTGATGCTTATTCCAGCTTTCTTACGTCTACATCTAGACTACCTGTCCAAGTCTTCTACTTCTACTCTCTGAATGCGTTTCCCACTCCTCCGACTCCTACTGTCAAACTGACCCGGCACATACTCCTATGCTCTCCGCCCCCCGTCCTCCTGTTTGAAACGAGCTACTCTCATTCTCTCAGTCTTATCCCAGCTGCCTCATGTCCACTTCTAGACTAGTTGTCCTCTTCTTTTATTCCTCCTCTCTCAATTGAGTTTCCTATTCCTTACCCTCCATGCACCTCCTCTTAGGGCTACTTCTACCGCCACTCCTGTTCTTACTCCTACTCTCTCCTACATGTCTGCTAGTTAATCCTAATTCTCCTAATCCCCGCCACCATAGATATACTGTCTGATGCTTATTCCAGCTTTCCTATTTCGACATCTAGACGACCTGTCCAAGTCTTCTACTTCTACTCTCTGAATTCGTTTCCCACTCCTTACCACCCGCCCCCCTCTACACCTCCGCTGAGCGCTGATTACTTCAAAGTTTCTACCGCTACTCCTGTTCTCACCGTGTCCCTCCACTTTTGGTATTCCTTGTCTTGCCCCTATCTCTACCACTGCTGTTATGCTGTTATTCCTACTGCCCTACCTCGATGCGCACTCCTGAAGGGGAGGAAGAGAAGAGTAGGAGTAGGAATGGAATAGTAGTAGTAGGAGAGTAGGAGTAGTCGTAAGGTTAGTATTCCAACAGAAGAGGAGACTAGGGGCAAAGAGAATACGAATCAGAGCGAAGGAATAGAAGAGTAGGAGTGGGAGAGTGCGAGTAAGAGAGTAGGAGTAGGAGAGTGTCTTGTTAGAAGAGCAGGAGTAGGAGAGTAGCCAGAAAGTAATAAAACAGGACTGCAGGAGAGGAGGACACCCGGAAAGTAGGAGAATGAGGAGTTGAGAGCGGGAAAGAAGGTACTTGAACAAAACGTGGAGACTGAATCTGTAATAGGGCCACAGGAGCATGAGCATGGAAGTAGGAGAGTAGGACTATGAACATGGGACTAGCAAGGTACGAATGGGAGAGTAAGAGTGGCAGAGGGCAGGAGTGGAAAAGCGGTAGGAAAGCCACGGCAGGTTACCAATACTGGAACGAGAGGGTAGGAGTAGGAGAGTAAGCGAACAAAATGCAGAAAGGTGGAGTGACATGATGGGATTGAACAAAGCAAAGCGTAGACTCCGATCCCCATCATATTCCCACCCCATTACCTGTATGTTCCGAGTCCTATTCCTCTCTTGCTGCCTAGGAGTGAGTAGGATGAATTCGACACTAGGGATAGGAGAAAAGTAGTGTAAGAGAAATGATGTTGTCAAGGCATCGAAAGTAGATTTTCCAACAGAGAAATAGTAGATTAATAAGAGAGGCAGAGCAGGAAAGTAAGTGCAATAATCGGGGACTAGGGGTAGGTGGATAGGAGTACAAGCTTAGGAGATTAGTAAACTAACATAACAGGCTAGTAAGATGCCATCATCTTACTCCCACTCACCTGTTCGCCGTCTCCTGGTACGTCTCTTTTATTCCTTTTCTGCAAATTTTTACTTTTGCCTTCCTCCTCTCCTACTCCCAATGTGTGGCTCCTTTTCAACTAGTCGAACTCCCTGTTTTTTGTTCGCATATTCCTCTCCTCCGACTCCTACTGTCAAACTGACCCTGCACATACTCCTGCTCTCTCCGCCCCCAGTCCTCCTGTTTGAAACGTGCTACTTTCATTCTCTTAGTCTCACTCCAGCTCCCTCATCATGTCCACTTCTAGACTAGTTGTCCTCTTGTTTTATTCCTACTCTCTCAATTCAGTTTCCTATTCCTTACCCTCCATGCACCTCCTCTGAGGGCGACTTCTACCGCTACTCCTGTTCTTACTCCTACTCCCTCCTACATGTCTTATAATGCTAGTTCTCCCAATTCCCGCCAGTATAGATATACTGTCTGATGCTTATTCCAGCTTTCTTACGTCTACATCTAGACTACCTGTCCAAGTCTTCTACTTCTACTCTCTGAATTCGTTTCCCACTCCTCCGACTCCTACTGTCAAACTGACCCGGCACATACTCCTATGCTCTCCGCCCCCCGTCCTCCTGTTTGAAACGTGCTACTCTCATTCTCTCAGTCTTATCCCAGCTGCCTCATGTCCACTTCTAGACTAGTTGTCCTCTTCTTTTATTCCTCCTCTCTCAATTGAGTTTCCTATTCCTTACCCTCCATGCACCTCCTCTTAGGGCTACTTCTACCGCCACTCCTGTTCTTACTCCTACTCTCTCCTACATGTCTGCTAGTTAATCCTAATTCTCCTAATCCCCGCCACCATAGATATACTGTCTGATGCTTATTCCAGCTTTCTTATTTCGACATCTAGACGACCTGTCCAAGTCTTCTACTTCTACTCTCTGAATTCGTTTCCCACTCCTTACCACCCGCCCCCCTCTACACCTCCGCTGAGCGCTGATTACTTCAAAGTTTCTACCGCTACTCCTGTTCTCATCGTGTCCCTCCACTTTTGGTATTCCTTGTCTTGCCCCTATCTCTATCACTGCTGTTATGCTGTTATTCCTACTACCCTACCTCGATGCGCACTCCTGAAAGGGGAGGAAGAGAAGAGTAGGAGTAGGAATGGAATAGTAGTAGTAGGAGAGTAGGAGTAGTCGTAAGGTTAGTATTCCAACAGAAGAGGAGACTAGGGGCAAAGAGAATACGAATCAGAGCGAAGGAATAGAAGAGTAGGAGTGGGAGAGTGCGAGTAAGAGAGTAGGAGTAGGAGAGTGTCTTGTTAGAAGAGCAGGAGTAGGAGAGTAGCCAGAAAGTAATAAAACAGGACCGCAGGAGAGGAGGACACCCGGAAAGTAGGAGAATGAGGAGTTGAGAGCGGGAAAGAAGGTACTTGAACAAAACGTGGAGAATGAATCTGTAATAGGGCCACAGGAGCATGAGCATGGAAGTAGGAGAGTAGGACTATGAACATGGGACTAGCAAGGTACGAATGGGAGAGTAAGAGTGGCAGAGGGCAGGAGTGGAAAAGCGGTAGGAAAGCCACGGTAGGTTACCAATACTGGAACGAGAGGGTAGGAGTAGGAGAGTAAGCGAACAAAATGCAGAAAGGTGGAGTGACATGATGGGATTGAACAAAGCAAAGCGTAGACTCCGATCCCCATCATATTCCCACCCCATTACCTGTATGTTCCGAGTCCTATTCCTCTCTTGCTGCCTAGGAGTAGGATGAATTCGACACTAGGGATAGGAGAAAAGTAGTGTAAGAGAAATGATGCTGTCAAGGCATCGAAAGTAGATTTTCCAACAGAGAAATAGTAGATTAATAAGAGAGGCAGAGCAGGAAAGTAAGTGCAATAATCGGAGACTAGGGGTAGGTGGATAGGAGTACAAGATTAGGAGATTACTAAACTAACATAACAGGCTAGTAAGATGCCATCATCTTACTCCCACTCACCTGTTCGCCGTCTCCTGGTACGTCTCTTTTATTCCTTTTCTGCAATTTTTTACTTTTGCCTTCCTCCTCTCCTACTCCCAATGTGTGGCTCCTTTTCAACTAGTCGAACTCCCTGTTTTTTGTTCGCATATTCCTCTCCTCCGACTCCTACTGTCAAACTGACCCTGCACATACTCCTGCTCTCTCCGCCCCCAGTCCTCCTTTTTGAAACGTGCTACTTTCATTCTCTTAGTCTCATTCCAGCTCCCTCATGTCTACTTCTAGACTAGTTGTCCTCTTCCTTTATTCCTCCTCTCTCAATTGAGTTTCCTATTCCTTGCACCCATGCACCTCCTCTTAGGGCTACTTCTACCGCTACTGCTGTTCTTACTCCTACTCTCTCCTACATGTCTGCTAGTTACTCCTAGTTTTTCCCAATTCCCACCACGATATTTCTACTGCTCTACCTCGATGCCTACTCACTGGAGGGAAGGACTAAAATGTAGCAGGAAGAGAGTTGGAGTAAAAGTTTGCATGGAGTTTACGACTTAGGGTTGAGAGTTACGGGTTCAGTGTTTAGAGTTTGGGCCGAACCTTGGGGGTTTGAGGTTTGGAGTTCAGATGCTGCAGTATGGCTTTTAGTAGGGAAAGGAGAAAAGAACCTCACATAGACCCTAAAGGTCCAACGTACATAGAACCCTTATGAAATCCTTATAGTAAGCCCCGAATCCTCGCCGCTAAAGTCGCGGGCTTAGGGTTTCGGGTTTAAGGTTCAGGGTTTAGAGTTTGGGGTTGGAGCGTGGGGTTTGAGGCCTAGGGTGTTCTTGGATTTCGACCTATCTACTACTCTTGGACTTGCCCCCAAACTGAAATCCACAACCCTAAACTCGAAGCTCTAAACCCTGAACCCTGAACTCTAAACCCTAAACTCTGAACCCTAAACTCTAAACCCTTAACCTCTGAACCCTAAACTCTGAACCCTAAACCCTAGACCCCAAAAACCCTGAAATCCAAACCCGAAGCTGGTCCCTCTGCCAGCCCGGCGTAAGCTGTCGCATAGGCCATGTCGGCTCGCTTTTGATCGCTGTGGCCCAGGGCCCTGTGCAGGCAGGGGCCTTAAAGGAGTAGAATAGGATTCCTTGAAAGGCTTCTATAAGGGTGTTGCATGTGCAAGTAGAAGCAACCCGATGAAAGAGCAGAAAACAAGTCAGCCTTTCTCCCCTCAAGCCTAACCCGAAAGTCTCAACCCTGAAGCTTAAATTCTTATGGCCATGTTCAGCAGAAGAATCAGAACTCCCAGCAAGCATCCTCGGCCTGCAAGCTCTAAGAATACCAAGACAGACAAGACTCACGGCTGACGAAGAAATGCGGTTGATGACATAAATCCTGCATTACCTTGATGATCCTAGACTATGGGAATCATGGTATATTCCTTATTATGGGTAGTGCAGGATTTATCATCAACGGCATCTGCCTTCAAGAGTGTTTAAGGTAGGCCGTCATCATTATCCGGGATGATCACGTTGATCGCCATCGGCATCGACAGCAGCGGCATCAGCATAACAATCACGATCATTATCATGAACACCTTTACCATTGCCATGGCTATCAACATAGTGAAACGTAGCCATCATCACCATCACCAGCACAACCGTCTCTTTCTGCCGACATCATCATCATCATCAAAACCCATCGACACCATCATCATCATCAACATCATCATTCACTCCATCTGTCCACTTTAACACAAACTGAAGACCACACCCCCAGATGCAGCCGCAAACCTGGACTTCCCAGAACCTGAAACCGAATCAGGTATAGGGGTTAGAGTTTACAAGGGTTTAGGGTTTAGGGTACTGTAGAGTTCAGGGTTTCGGTGGGAGTCGAGGGTTTTGGGGCTTTGGGGTGTAGGGTTTCAAGGCTTCCAAACGAACCTTCGAGACCGAAACTCCGGAATTCCCCAGTTGGACCAGTTTGAGGGTCAGAGGACTTAGTAAGTAAGTTCAGGGTTTAGGGTTCATATTATGTTCTAGAGTTATAAGAACCATATGCCCAGTTAGGTTCCCTTCTAGGGTACATATAGCTCTACTTCCGACCTACTTACGAAGTCCCCCGACCCTCCAAGCACCTAAACTTAAACCCTGGACCCGAAACACCCCAAACACTCCAAACGCCCGACCCTGTGGCGAGCGCGACAGTGATTGCCGCGTTCTTCAGCTGTTGCTCAGGGGAAAGACCACTAGCCTCCGCCGTTTTGGGTTTGGGGTGTGGGGATGTAAGGTTAGGGTTTTAGGGGGCTTGAGGTTTGGGCCTTGGGGTTTAGGGTTTTGTCTTCGGCTTTAAGTTTAGGGTCTACAAGGCTTCTACCCTTTCAGCAGGGCTTGCAAGTCAGGTTATGCTTCAATCCTAAAGTTGGCGCCTTAGGGGTCTTGGGGATCAGGTAGTCTTGGTATTTTACTACGACTGGCGTACTCTTGTTCGTGATGCTGTTGGTACACGATATTTGTTTTGAAGAAATTTTAATTGGATTACAACAAAGTTTATTAAATTTACTATAATGTTTTTATATCTGCTGTTTTTAGTACTGCTACGACTAGCAGTGGTAGCAGCATCAGGAGGTTGTAGTAGCGGTCGTCCGTGTTAGGGCGTAGTCGCAGTCGTAGTCTTAGTCACCGGTAGCCGACTCGTATTCGTAATGGTAGTAGACAGTGACATAGTCACCACAACTTGCTGATGCATGAAAAACGCGAAGAGCATGAAACACAACGCGCTCTTTGCAGCGGCGTGTCAAAGGATTTAGCAGTATCATGACCGAGCATGGAACATCTGAAAGTTAAAACGAAGGTTGCCACCCTGACCCTCCCCGGTGATTCTCTGAACACCCAAGGCTCCACCTCGCTTTCCAAACATGTCTAAGTCGTAGTTCCCCAGCCCAATACTGTAAACACAAACCCTCTCGAAGGCTGCTGCGACAGGCAAAACTCTGACCATTACACGCTGAACACCGAAGCAGGAACAAGAACAGCAAAGACAAGCATGCCCAGTTTTCTGCGCATCGTAAGCACATTCAAGACATGTTTACCAGTCATATTATGACTGGCCACTTGCGTAAGCGGTGGTGGAGCCGTTGTAAACTCTAAACTTCCCCGGCTTCCTTAAGCCACACAAGCGTTGAACCGTAAAGCCTATGCCAACAAGCTAGCCGCTAGCCCTGCCTTGCCAATTTTCGCAGCCTGCTGCGCAGCGCCGATGCTGCTGGACTCTAACGATTGCCCCGCCTGCAGTTCAAGGATGGCAGGAGTGTGCTTACAGTCTCGGGCTGACGGTTTTTAACGGTTTCAGGTTCAGATTAGGGTTTCGGGTTCGGAAATGGAATCTGGGGCTTAAATCTGATTGCTGAAGGAAGGCCGTTGCGGCTTCGTACGAGCACAGGCTCTGAAAAGCCACGGGACTCCCCAGTTACCTGTTCTACTTCCTCCACTTCCTCGCCGACAACGGTGAGCAGCTGTTGTGTTCTCTGCCTCTCTCTCGCTCGCTCTCTGGCTCTCTCTGCAAATATACATGCACATGTACATGTACAAGGACATAAAAATCATATATACACATACTCCATGTGGAATGGGAGGGAGAGGCGGAGAGAGAGCGAGAGATTATAAAGTCTTGGGTCAAACACGGACTGCAGCGTAGCTGCCCGGCGTAGGAGCCTATAGACCCTAAAACTCTAAACCCCATAGAATGCCATAGAACCCTTTAAGGAACCCTATAGATCCCTTTAAGGGGCACTTTAAGAGCCCTTACTAAGTCCCCTGCCCCTCCAAGCGTAGGATTTACTGAGGTTCAGGAGTGCTCAGGTTCCTGCAGCCGTAAGAATGTAATGCGATATCAGAGGATAGAATATGGGGGTTTCCGAAAATAGGGGGACCCTAAAATAGTACCCTAAGTAGTAGGATCCTCATTATAACGATCCCAGAATAAGGTACCCCTAATTTTCGGAGACTCCCATATACTGAGAAGAAAATGTAGTAACAGTATCATACAGTATAGTAAAGTATGACATAGTATAGTAAAGTATAGTATAGATTATGGTATAATATATATATATATATATATATATACATATATATATACATATATATATAGCATAGTATAGTGATAGAAGAAGCTGCCAGGAGCTATATACATCAAGTACAACCATAGTCACAGTCTTCGGGGCTTTAGGGTTCTTAGGATTTAGAGCTTAGGGTTTTGGGTCTAGGGGCTAGGATTTAGGTCTTGGGCTTAAAGGCTCTCGCGTATAGGATTTAAGCTTGAGGGACATTGTTTGCAATCAAGAACATTACACGCTACTTCCCATTGCTGTTTCTCCTTCTGGATGCTTCTGCCAGAGATAAGAGGTTAAGGTAACAGAGATGGTACAAGCCAAGTATCTACACCCGCAGACTTTCAAACCCCCAACATTCACATGCAAAATCCGACATCCGAAAAAACAAAAAAGCAAAAGAATAAAAAATGATAAACAGAGGCCTGCAAAACTGGAGTAGGGTTTAGGGTTAGGGTTAGGATGTACGTTTTACTATGAAGACACTGAAGAAGCAGCAAAATAGAAAAAAAAAAACATATCAGACAGGGGCCTGCACAACTGGAGCAGGATTGGGGGTATACATTTTAATATGCATACACTGAAGAAGCTGCAAAACTGATAAATGTATATATATATATATATCTTCAGGTCCCTGCATATTTTAGATTGAGCCAACGACTGGCCTCCCTCAAGATCTTGAAGGCAGCTTTGCCACCATACTGGGCCTGACATGACAGGCACAGCTGGAAACCCGCAACTCGAAACCCTCAGAGCCCAAAGTCTTAGCGATGTGATTTAGGGTTCGGATTGACGGGTTTAACAGTTTCAAGTACCCGATTCTGAAAAAAACTGCAAACCCTGAACCCTAAGCTGTCCTGGTAGTCGTCAGACAAGCCCAAGGTCTTGGCATCACCTGCAGCGACCCGTGCGGCCGCAGCGGCCTGCCGTGTTCGGACGAAGCGATCTAAGGACTTTCATAATGTCTAATCGGGTTCCTACTCGGCTTCCTTTAAAGGGTTTCTATAGGTACTATGGGGTTTACAATAAACGTTTAGTCAAGGGGGTTTGTAACGAATCATTGGGGCTTGTGCGGCTTTTAAACTGTGCTATCGGACCTAAGTGGGTGCATCTTGCAGTATGTCCGAGTAGATCTACACTGAGATTATACGGTGGTACTTGTTCAGAGTTCAGACACTCGCGAGCAGGCTTGTGAGTGGGCTGCTTTACGGCCTACGGCTTGACAAAGCTTAGGCTTAGGGTGACATACGGGTTGAAGATATCAACCCTGCATTACCTTCATGACGCTAGCCTATGGAAATTATGGGTTGTTCCTTATTATGGGTAGTGGAGGATTCACACCATCAACAGCGGGATTCAGTGAAGCTCTGCACGAGCGATCTTCTGCGGGCAGGCGGGGCTGGGAATGATCTTTCCCGAAGCCCCAAATCCTGAAAATCCGACATCCTACACCTGAAACCCCTAAACACCCGAAGTCTGGAACCCCAAACCCTAATCAAACCTAACACCCTGGAAAACCCCAAAGACCTGAAACCCCAAACGAGGTTCGTGGGGCCTTCGGGCCCTAAAGTTTCCAGGCTCAAAAGGGCCTTAGGCTTCAGGTTGGTTTTGTATAGGGTTTAGGGTTTAGGATTTCGGCTTTAGGGTTTAGGGTTGAGGGTTTCTTTGTTTAGGGTTTAGGGTTTCGGCTCTAGGGTTCGGGCTTTAGGGTTTGGGCTTTAGGGTTTGGGGTTTAGGCTTGAGGGTTTATGGGCGGGTTTGCAAAATGTCTTCCACTTGTTGAGGCTCCCATACTATGGCAGGAACCCTCATGGAACCCTTATAGAACCCTCATAGAACCAACCCTCCTCATAGAACCCTCATAGAACCCTTCTACACCGCTTATAGAACCCTCATAGAACCTTCTAGTAGCAGTCACACAAAGGCCTCAGTGTTCCGAGCAAGCATCGAGCAAGCGAAGGATGGG